TTTTTTTTGATTTTTGAGACTGTTAAAACCAAAGTTATATTTATATAAAATTTTAAGATAAGCTTTTTCATATTGAATAATATGAATACAATACCTTCTGCCTAGCCTTCATATTGGATGAAAAAAGAAGAGAAAGGAGAACAATGCGAAAGGAAAGAAAATATAAAGTTATTATTAAAGGATAATACAAAAAGTGAAAAAAAGAATAAAATACAGTATTATTTTTTTAATATTCATTCTTGTAAATTATAGTATTATTTTAATTAATGCATCTAAAATATGCATGTGATATAAGAAATTAAAATTTAATAATATTTAATGCTATTTAATGCTATGCATATGATGATCTCCTATCCTAAAACTGCAATGTTTCAATGACCCTTACAATTATCATTTCGTCACCGCAATATTTTACATCATTTTTTAAAATCTGCTGATTTTTTATTTTAAAATTTTTTCACATTAAAATATCATGTTTATCTTTTCAGAAAGATTTTGATGATTGTTATCTAAAATATTATATATTGAAAACTCCTTTCATCTGGCTGTATTTTAAATAGTAAGTAATTATTATTATATATATTTATTAGATTTTTTTTTTTTTAAAACAACTAGGATTTTACATATAAGTAGTAAAATTTAGGATAATAACCTGATTTTTGATTCCATATATATGTCGGCAGAAGCTTAATGGTTAATTCCATGATTTATAAAGAAAAAATTGTTAAAGTAGCATAGGCATTCGAAAAAATTTATATAGTAATAAAAATGTTCTTATCATTTAACTTGATAATGTCTTTTTACTTTGACAAAAAAGTAATTTGAATTTGAATTTCGTTTTGTTTCATGAAAATAATTACGGAAAGATTAACATTCAATGCGGATATGATATTTAATTTCAGATATTGAGAACGAATTCTGTTAATTTAATTTACATAATAATAATACATTAAAAAATCATCATAACTGTACACATTTAATTTATCATACAGCCAAAAAGTTAATAAATGATCTATATACAAAGACTTTTATCAAAATTGTGGGATTTGTGTTTATTGTCCATCTCTTTCAGGAAAAAACATTGAAAGGATATCACTAAGAGTGATAACACCAATAGGAACGTCATCCTCATCCACCACCCAAGCTCTATGAGCTTTGCTGCGGATAATTCCCGCCATTACTTGGCTGAGAGTAAATTTACCATGACAAGTTAAAGGTTTAATTAAAGCTCCTTTGCAACTCATTAAAAACATAATGACAGGTTTCTTTAAATCTGATAATCTTTCTCGATTCAACCCTCTTAAATCCGCAGCGCTAACTTCTCCAACTAATCTTCCATCATCCCCAACAACGGCGACAGCACTAACTCCATCTTGATGAATTTTTCTAAAAGCAGTTAAGGCTTGATCATGAATTGTAATAGAGGAAGGTTGTTCCAATAAGTTTATTCTTCCACGATTAATCAAACGAATCGCCCTGTTAGAAACTTCAGAGGCAGAAGTATCTAAAATTTTACCTAATTGATGATTATGATGAAATAAAAATCTTACAACATCGGTTTGAGATGCAAAGCAAGGTTTAACCTCATCTTCATTGATAACTTCTCCAACATCTTGGTCTTCGATTGGTCTACGTTCAGCCACCAAAACTCTATGAATTTGTTTTAGAGTAAATAGCTCTAACAAATCAATCAATGAATCTTCCGGATGACATATTGTAAGATGTGTACTTTCAGATGATAAACCAATCAATTCGCCAATAGGCTTTTGTAAAAAGATTGATTTACTATCAAAATTTGATGAATCACATTCTTCCCCATTATTATTATTTGTCTATAATAACGAAAACATTAAGATAAATGATTTTCTAACTGGGTTCTTCAAATTTTCTCATTTAAACTTGTTTATCATACCTGCAAGCAAACAAAAGCTACCAGATCGAATACATTAACAATGGCAATTGGTTGTCTATGACCTCTCCAAAACCTATAAACCGGAACACTTAAAATATTTTCCGCCAATAAAACATCAAAAGCTTCTTCGATGGTAGCTGTAACAGGAATTTCAATTAGTTTTGAAATATTTTGTTTCTCCTTAAGAACCGAGCCTACATTTTGCCCTTTTATAAAACTAATATGTTGTGGTGTAGAATACATTTTTTTTTTTTATTTTTTTGTAAATTAATAAGAAAAAAAAAAGCGGAAAAATGAGTCGATGACGTTAGGTTAAGAAATGATTATAAATAATTGTTATTCGAAAGTCACGAGCATAATCCGGTGACAAATAACTAGGATTGTAACGATCAATCAATGATTAGGTTTTACTAATTAAAAGGAAATGTCCTTCTCTTATATTTTTAATTTTAAAACGTAATTTAAATTTGATACTGGATGGTCTAAACCTAACATTTTTACTAGATCAGCGAAAGAATCTCTCGATATGGTGACATTTAAGGGGTACCTAAATGATCGACATAAAATGGCACAGAGAGTATATTTGGCCGGCATTACGGAATTAAGAAATTATAGGTGTGACGAAAATTTTAATAATGTGACAATTAAGCAAACGATCAACATATTATTATATAATTGGATAATGGATGAAATCTTTTTGATCAATTTTTCTCTGCCTCGTTTAAATTTAATGGATGACCAAAAAACAATGCAGGCAATCCAGGTAGTTCAACAAAGACAACCAAGACCGCGATTCCATTTTACGGAAGAGCACCTATCATTGTTAGAGGGCATATATCAGCAAGCAAAATATCCTGATAAATCACAAAAAGTTAAAGCTGCTGCCGCCATAGGTGCCACCGAATCTCAAGTTAATGAGTGGTTCCAACGAAGGAGAAAGAAAGAAATGAAATTACAAAGAGAATCAGGAGTTACTAACACGCCAACCGCAACCGCAACCGCAACCGTTCCCTTTATTAACGTTACCGCTGAAAATAATAATGAACTTAATACGGAAACCACCTCTACATATTTCCCTCCTTTTGATGGATCAGTAAACGCTTCAATTCCGGATCATGAAGTTTATGTGTATATAGATGCTCCCCAGCAAAATCAAGAAAACATGTATGGTGCTCCTACCAATTTGCTTCCTAGTAATGAATTACAATATTACAATAATTTTATGTCAAATGAATACATAGGTAACAGTAATAATAATAATAATAATATTAATGCGGTTAATAGTAATAATTTCAACACAAGTAGCATAATAAATACAAGTAATTTCAATAGTAACAGTTCAATTATAAACAATATGAATAATAATAATTTCGTTAGTAACAGTGCAAGTAATACAAATAACAATATGACAAATATTAATAATTTTTCAGGTAACTATGGCAGTTCAAACAGTAATGATAACAACATCATAGCTAGTGTTAAAATTGATGAGGAATCACGAAAAGCCTCATCATCAACAAGCTCTAATCAAACCGCCGAGAACAATGAATCGAGGGAACTTATTGCGAGCATTATGTCATACTTGAACCCTGATTTAGGTTTAATATCTGCTGATGTAGTTAGAGATTTTCTTAAAAAGGTTAAAGACACTTCCCCAAATACGCGTGGTGTCATCCTTCACATTATAAAACAAACACATGATTTGGAGATTCTGAAATCGCTTGTACGTGAACGCGTTAGTTATATATTGAGAAATTGGATTAAAGAAGAAGCTACAAAAACTGATGATAGTAATAATTTAAAGGAATTACTCGAAATTGTAAGCTTGCTACCTATAGATTATAAGTTGTCTCGTTCTAGTGGTCTTGGAACGGTTATTTATAACAAAAATGTGAAAGAATCTACTATAGATGGGGTAGCCAAGTTAGCTGGAGGACTTCTTGACAAATGGGTCGAGGAGAAAAAACTATCAGAAGAACTACAATTAAAAGAACAAAAAGTATTGGAAGAAAAGAAAAGGTTAGATAAAGCGGAAAAGATCGGTCAGAAGGTTGGATCAAAGTCGGATTTAATAAAATCATCGACAAGTCAGACTTCGAGCGTTAAAGAATTGGTGAGACCACCTAAACCTGAACAAAAAAGGAAAAAGGTTACTGATGGAAACGCGCAAAATGATAATGAAAAACCTAGTATTTTCACTCAATTGCTTAGCAACTTAGCTGCATCCGCGTCAAAAAGACAAACTCCTAGACCACCTCAGAAGGATCCATCGAAATTGGTACCACCTTCAAAACTTAAAATTGAAAAACAGGTTACACAGAGTCAACAAATGGAAATCTCTGAAGATGGTCCTTCAACTCAAAAACATAAAGAAACAGAAATATTACCTATTCCTTCTAAAAAAAGGAAGCGGGTCACATTTGCTCCGGATGGATTACTTGAAAAAGTAAAATTATTTGAAACAATGGAACTTGATGATACCGATGAGGAACATACTACGGCCGATACTCCACATCACTACGGAAATGCTCGAGATCTTGATAGGAATGAAGGTCGCGCGGCTTTCAAAAGAGTTCGTAAAGCACCAGCTATTCAGTGGCATACACCGATTACAATTGATTTCTCATCTCGACCAAAAATAAAAAAACGAAAGGTTGCTGAAAGTGATGAAGCTAGAATTCAAGAAGAAAGAGAGAGGCAGATACTTGAAACAATATATATAACTTCAGATCAAGTTCCTTTCTCTCCCGCAGAACCACTTCAAAATTCTCAAATAAATAAATTTAATCAATCAGTATTACCAAAGGAATTATTTCTTGAAGAAAATAAAGAAAATTTTAAAAATGATGGTTATAAAGATATTGATATATTGGATTTGAATGGTGGCTATAATGAAGAAGTATTGCGAGTACTTTATCAAATTTATCCGCAATGGGAAGCGATGCAAAATAAAAAGTCAATGATGTTCCCAATTAATGTACCAGAACAAAATGTAAGGGGGATGATTTTCTCGGCGCCACCGCCACAATCTCAAGCCGCACCACCACTACCGATTGCTCCTTGGGGTTTCAATGGAAATGTGATGCATTTCCAACCACCACCACCACCACCACCACCTTTACATCATCAAACTCCAAATATTGTTCCTCAACGTTATCAACAACCTCAACCACAATCGCAACCGTCTCATCAATCTCAATCTCAACCCCTTCAACTCCAATCTCATCAACTTCAACCTCAACAACATCAACCTCAACATCAGCCTCAAATTCAACCCCAAATTCAACCCCAACATCACCAATCTCAACTTCCACCCCATCATCAACCTCAACTCCAACCTCACCAACCTCACCAATCTCAACTTCAAATCCAACCTCACCAATCTCAACTTCAAGCCCAACCCCAACTTCAACCTCAACCTCACCAATCTCAACTTCATCAACCTCAGCCTCATCAGCTTCATCAACCCCATCAACCTCAGCCTCATCAGCCTCATCAACTACAACCCCATCAATCTCACCATCAACCTCAACCTCATCAACTTCAAACCCATCAACCCCAGCTTCATCAACATCAGCCTCCACCTCCACCTCAATCTAGTCAACAGCACTTTCAACCTTCCAATAGAGGAAGTGACGGTGGTATGATTAGACCAAACAAGGGTAGAGGTTCAGAATGTTGGTATTATACTCGAGGAAAATGTAATATGGGTGATGAATGTAAATTTTTACATATTGATCATTAAATGATCACGGTAAATATAAAAATGTATTATCAAAATTATTTGTACAGTTAGAGAAAAAAAGGAACTTCTTATTGTTTCGAGCATTTCGAACAATTTTTTTTTTATTATTATTATATTAAAATAGTATTTACTATAGGATTAAGGTGTATTTTCTTATTTTTATGTTTTAAAGGTTTATCGTCTTTTATTAATGAAATTTTCAAATTCTTTTGGTATATGGAATATACGACATTTGTTCTTAAATACTGTTAAACTTCTCTCTCTTACAATATCTTCTACTGTCAATTCATTATTAATCATTCTTCGCTTCTCGATAAAAATTCAAAAAATAAAATTTCGAATAAATTAAAAAAATCGCGATATTAATAAGAAATAAAAAAAAAACACGAACATCTAATAGCATTATTATTACCTTTGATTCATCAACAAACATTTGATTTTTTAAGTTGTTATCAAATGGATCGTCATCTATTGCCTTTTGTTTTTTTTCTAGTTCAGCATCTAAAATCTAAATTACATTTTATTAATTCGACTCAATGACAAAAAAATTAGGTACCTTAACTGATTTGACTACACACATTTAAACATTTATTTATAACTCGTTCTCTCTTTTGGTAAGCATCGGATAATTGTTTGAAAAAATCCGCACAAGCGGCTTCCGAATGCGTATTAGTAGTGTTCATCCTTAGCATGATATTATCGTCTATCTTTCTATATTCTTTCATAAGGTCTAAATCACAAATCAAATCAATTTTTTTTTTTTACTTTTGAAAAATAAATTATTTGTTTAGAAGTTTTTTACCTTTGAAATGCGTTAAATTATAACACGTTTCAACATAAACTACTTCGCCCATATTTCTCTGGTTATCTTTCAAGGGAAAAATTAGTTTCTATAATTATTAGTATACCAAATTATATTATTAAAAAATCAAAAGGTGTATTTACGCGTTTAACTAATAAGAAAAAGTAAAGGATAAAGACAATAGGAAAGAAGAATTGAAGGAAAAAAAGTTTTTAAGATCGACCGCTGATGTTGAACGAATTCACGTGACAATGTAGAGATCGCGTACATTTTGGATGATTACTTCATTTAGTAAAAAAAAAAAAAAAAAATGTCTAATTCAAATTCTTCACAATGTCGACTCGACCAAATCGAGACTTATGAAACTGAATTGAATGAGTATGATAAGCAATTCGAAAAATTGTTAAATGAATTATCTTGGGATTTAGAAAATGTTAAAATTCAACAACAGGTGGTTATAATTATACAGCGGTTTTGCTTGAATTTTCTAATTCATATTAATATATATTTATTTATTTATTATCAATCCAAAGAGAGTCAATGCATTAGTAAATTGTCCTTTTAATCCAGCACACAGGATTCCCTCAAAGTCCTTTGAACGGCATTATCGGAAATGCGAATTAAAATTTCATGGAATACACAGTGAACTAGGAAGGGTATGGGATTTAAATATTTTCTAATTATAAAGATTTATTTTTCAGTAAATTCACAAAAAAAAAAAAAAATAGCGAAAGCAATTACCAAGTTCCAACTTTTATTACCAAAATACCACATCTGTCATATCTTTAAATAAAGGTTTGCTATTCATAATTAATAAATATTTTATTTAACTGACGCGTTTTTTTTAACTGATAATTAATTATAAAATACCAGAAATCAAAGAAGGATCTTTACCAAACAATAATGTTCAGAGCTTAACAGTTGATCAAAGGTTGCAAGAATATGAGAGTGAAGTTGAAAAAAGTAATCAAATTCGTGAACAACTTCAACAGGAAAAACAAGATTTATATCAAAACTTTGATCAAGTTTGGGAAGCCGTACAAAAAATGAAAGGTACTTTCCAAGTTTTGCGAATTTTTTTTTTTTGGTTCATTTCAAAATTATTTACACCTTGCAAATTTATAGAACAGAATCAAGGACACAAAACACGGGAAGAATTATTAGCGGAACAACGCGATTATAAACGTAGAAGAAAATCATACAGGGCAAAGAACATTAAGATCACCCAAAGAACACCCACACAGGTAAAGATAGTCTAATGTATAATTTAATTCCGTGATAATGATTCTAAAACAAATATTATATAAAATTAGATCCATAAAGACTTGATTGAGGCTTATATGGAAGACTTTAAATTGTTGACACAATTTGAAATGAATAAACAGGATCAAAATGAGACAGCTTCGCCACCGAATCCTTCGCGATATCCATATTAGAAAGGAAAAATTTTCAAATTATAATATGTTATCATAATGCTATGCTAATTAATTATTGCTAATATTAAATGATTTACTGTAATGTCTTAAGTGATAACAATTAAAAATCAAGATTAAGCGTGGTTTGATAAACCAGACCAGATTTTTTATTTCTGGCGGTTGCCTTAATTTCCATCGTGCCAAATGTGAGTTCAAATTCCACCTTTCTCTTGCTTCCAAATTGTTTGTCAGGTAAATCGATTTTAAGGGTACCTAAAAGCTTTGTACCAGGTTCATCACAATATTTAGCATCAAAATTTGTCGTAATATAAATATTGAATCTCATATCAACTTGATTGGAATTAGTAGGTTTAGCTATATAACCAAAAGTTTGATTGACTTTAACTTCAGTTCCTCTCTTTGCCAACTGATGGAACGCTAACATTAAACCATTTGGTAACTTTCTTTGAGGATCTTCTCCTTTTTTCCATTTCTTTAAAACTTGTACGCCATAAGTGTAACGTAAAATTCTCGTCTGTATGGTTCTCATATTTAATCCATATTTAACAGCACCCCTAACGACGGCAGTTATAGGCTGAGAAGGAACCTCAATTATTGGAACTTGTTGATTAAAAGCTTGTTTTACACTTCTTACTAGATAAAGAGATTCACTGAAACCTCCGACCAAAAAAATAGCCGAACATTTTTTTCCAAAAGAATTCAATTGATTTCCAATTAACCAATTAATCCTTTGTATAACAGGATCGAACATTCTTTTAACATTAATAAAATCTAATTCAATTATCCATTCTTCTTGTTCCATTCTTCGTCTTGTCATTTCATCATTAACGTAATAAATTAAATTTGGACAAGCATCTTCTAAATCTATATAAGCATTTTGAAAATCTGAAGGATCTCCCGTAAAAGATAATTTTACCTTGTTACAAAATTCTCGTATTAAATATTGAAATTGATCATTGTGATGATAATAAAGCTGTTGTATGGGTTGATATAAATTATATTTTTGATAAAGAAAGCTTAAAAATTCTTTATCAACAAAAGTACTTCCACAATAATCTCCCGTTCTTTCGGTTATTTCACTAATTTGGTTAGAAGTTATTAATCTTCTCATTGTCAATTCCACTGCTCCACCTCCACAATCCACTATCATAAAATCGGCTGTATCATTAATATAAATTAAATTAGATATATATATATGTTTATATATTTTTCTCACTTTCTCTTTCTTTCTTTTTTGTAATTATTGTCACATACCTCTAGCTCTTAATCCTAATCGTCCAAGTGAAGTTATGCAATGCACGGCGGCAGCCTCAGCTAATCACATATGCCGAATTAATTTTTATTGGTTATAATTAAAAAAATTGTTATTACATAATAAACTTACGTTCAGTCATAAATTCCAAGTTGTGCGAATTATCGAATTCCAGCAGCCCAGAGCGCCACGCACATTTACGCATAATCGCTTTCGCTGTTTCCGAAAAATCGGATGGAACTAATTCATGATTCATGAATTTGAATTAGTAGCGGATTATATATATACGAGTGAAAAACATATTTTTATTTACCTGTTAACACGATCAACACATTCCTATAAAAATTTATTCCTAATATAAAAGAAAGATATTTGGTTTTTTTTTTTCATTTTTATATTTTTTTCCAAGCAAAAATGATAACGCTCAAAATATTAACCTGGCCATCTTGTTGCTATCGTGTTTTTAATTAGCTAGATGTTAAATAAATGATGAAAACGAATCAAGTATGCCAAAAAAAAAAATGGAAAACAACAAGTTTATCCATTTTACCTTTGTCATTTCTGCTAAATAATCAATCACGCACTGTCTATAATCTAGACCTTGAGGAAGAATCGGTTTATCTTGCTCTCTGATGTTTCCGAAATGTAATTTAAATAGGGATACAGGAATCGTCGGAGTTGTCTCGTTGTCGGTTAAACTATTATTTTTCTTTTTCTTTTTCTCCTGACGCGTTATTGCACTTGAACCCCAACCAACGACTTTCCAAGTTTGTGTATTATAAAGTAGAACCGTATTGGTTTTAAAAACGCCATGTTTATCTTCTTGTGGCCATTTGTCATTTGTAACTATTTCCGATGAGCCGTTATCTGATTTGTGAGAGTACGCAAAGGTACTTGAAGACGTTCCGAAATCTACAAGGTGGTATTTTGAAGATAAATAACTATTTGGAAGCCGAAGAAAAAAAGATATTAAGCATTTCAATTTACCGATGCCTATCACAACTTCATAATATACTGAAGTTGTCAAAGTTGTCATTTATACAAATTTTTTTTTTATTCAAGCTTTTTTGATTTTGTTGAGGAAAATAATTTGATAGATGCATGTACTGTAAATTTGATAGTCGTTTTATGCAGAATTCACACAAATAACATATTTTAATATATTTTAACTTATTAGTACTATAAAAACGGACAATCAGGTTATTTTTTTTTTTAAAAAAAAATTCGCTTTGAATAAAAAGAATTAATTTATTCAAATCAAAAAAAAAATTTCCTTTCGTTTACAAATACTTAAAGAAAATACGATTATTTTTAACGAAAAAAAAATGACATTTCCAGTACCAATTTCATTGGAAACGCAACCAATTTCTATTCAAGAACAATCAAAGGATGAACCTATGCTTTATGTCTTGATTTTTTTTATGGTTTTGGTTTTCTTTAGTGGAATATGTTGGATATTTTGCTGCGGTTCTTGTGTCGGGAGAGATACTTTAAGAGCAATTGGGTTAGGAAGGTTCGTAGCTTCTCCTAACAAAAGAGGTAGGAGAAGTATTGTAAGAGGGATGAGAAATTATAAATATAGTCCTGCTTTTACGGATGAAGAGGAATGGGAAATGTTTGAAGGAGCTGGTGTAAATAATAATGAGGAAAGTGCATGGGATAATAATCAGAATGATCAGGAAACATTACAATAATAATATAGGTTAGAACATTTAACTAAAAAGAAAAAATCAGATCATAAAAAATTTGTTATATAGAATTTTTAATTTATTTTCCCAAACACAAAAATTATAAAAAAATAAATGCATGCGAAAATGAACTGATCATCCCAAAATCAACTGATAATATTTTTTGATTAGATTGTTAATCAATAAACTATTTCCAAAAATGTTAAAAACTTTTCGTATAAATACCCTATGGAATCGAATTTTGCTGATTTTAAACACCTCTTTGTTTTAAAAAAAATAATTTTCCAAAATAAAAAAAATGCCAATTACTAAAGTTCACGCCCGCCAAATCTTTGATTCTCGTGGCAACCCTACTGTTGAAGTAGACCTTACCACTGAGAAAGGTATAAAGGTTATTCATAATAGTCAATTTCTACGAAATTAATTTAAGAAGGTTTTGTTACTTTATTTATTAAGGTGTTTTCCGCGCTGCTGTGCCTTCTGGTGCCTCAACTGGAGTTCATGAAGCTTTAGAACTCCGTGATGGTGTCAAAACGGATTATGTTGGCAAGGGTAATAACAAAAAGTTAATTAATTTAAAATAATAATTCATAAATAATTTAATCGATAAATTTATTATAATATAGGTGTTTCAAAGGCAGTTACCAATGTCAATGAGAAAATCGCTCCAGCATTAGTTAAAGCCAATTTGGATGTAAAAAATCAAAACGCTGTTGACAACTTTCTCTTGCAATTGGATGGTACCAAGAATAAATCAAATCTTGGGGCTAATGCAATTCTAGGTGTTTCACTTGCGGTTGCCAAAGCTGGAGCCGCAGAAAAGGTAATGTATAAGTTGTCATTTTTTTTTATATAATTTACTAAGGACATTATTGATTCGTTGTTATATTAGGGCATTCCGCTTTATCGGCATATCTCTGAGCTTGCTGGAAGTAAACAACCATTTGTTCTTCCAGTTCCAGCTTTTAATGTAATTAATGGAGGATCTCATGCTGGTAATAAACTTGCCATGCAAGAATTTATGATCCTTCCAACTGGCGCTAAATCTTTTTCCGAAGCCATGAAAATTGGTTCAGAAGTTTATCATTCTTTGAAGTCTGTGATCAAAGCTAAATATGGTCAAGACGCTACTAATGTAGGAGATGAAGGAGGCTTTGCTCCAAATATCCAAGACAACAAAGAAGGTCTTGAATTGCTCAAGGTAGCTATTTCAAAAGCTGGTTACACTGATAAAGTGAAAATCGGTATGGATGTAGCTGCCTCTGAATTTTATAAAGAAGGATCTTATGATTTGGACTTTAAGAACAAGGATTCTGATAAATCTAAATGGCTTTCTGGAACTGAACTTGCTAAATTATATATTGAATTTATTAATGAATATCCGATTGTTTCGATTGAAGATCCTTTTGACCAAGATGATTGGAATGCTTGGAGTCATCTTGTTTCTTCAGTGGACATTCAGATTGTTGGTGATGATTTGACTGTTACTAATCCTGAAAGAATTACTACAGCCATTGAGAAAAAGTCTTGTAATGGACTTCTTTTGAAAGTTAATCAAATTGGTACCGTCAGTGAATCTATTGAGGCGTAAGTTATCAAATTCACTTAATTAAAACAAACAATTTTCTTCATTTATAATAATTTTTTATTTTACTAAACAATTATTATTATTATTATTATTATATATCATTATGATGATAATAGAGCTAAATTATCTCAAGGCGATGGATGGGGTGTTATGGTTTCTCATCGTTCAGGCGAAACCGAGGATACCTTTATTGCAGATCTGGTTGTAGGTCTTCGTACTGGACAAATTAAAACCGGAGCACCTTGTCGTTCTGAACGTCTAGCAAAATATAATCAGTTATTACGTATTGAAGAAGAATTAGGTTCTGAAGCAATTTATGCCGGTGAAAAATTTAGACATGCTCATCTATTGTAAAAAAAAAAAAAACAAATCTATCTAAAGGGTAGTAACTTAATTTCAAAAAAAAAAAAAAAAAATATTTATTTTTCACGGGAAAAAAGAACATTTATTGTGTTAAAGGCATTTATTAAATGTTTAGAATTGTATGATGTAAAAAGATTTTTTAATTTATATATATATATATAATATCGGTTAATAAATAATGCCATTACTGTATCAAAAGGAAAATTGATTATTTCCAATAATTAAATCTTAATGTTCTTTATTTGTTTTAAAAAAGAAAACCCATATTGTGTCATATCATAAAAAGAGAGATGTATATATATAATTTTATTAACAGAACGTAGAAAACGGGAATAATAATAATAATAATAAAAAGCTTAATTAAACATAATTTCAAACTAATCTTAGGATTTTTTTTGGATCATAAAATTTTTTAATAAGCGAGGGAGAAAATTGGGAGTGAATTATTATATTAAAAAAAAACCGGTTATATATATTTGTATATATATACATTAATAGATGATCGATCTTAGGTCGTTATTTTCTTTTTTTTTTCTTTTCTTTTTGTTAATAGAAATTTGTGATTCGAAGTAGAATATGAAACAATCGAAGAATATAATAAATACGATAAAATAAAAACGATGGGGAAAATAATTAAATTTAAAGTAAATTAATTACACGATAATAAATATATATATATATATATATATATATATTTTTTATAACCCAATATTAAGATCATCGATAAATATAAATATATATATATATATTAATACAAATAAATATAATAATTATTATATATATATATAATATTAATAGTAATATTAAGGAATAATAAATATTCATGATACCAAATTACACTTAAAGAAATCCTCAAATAAATTAATGTCAAAAATTTGTTAATATATACACGTATAACTTTCGATTTAAAAAATAAAGCTCAAGGCCATAAATCACCGAGTTCTGATTTTTTCTTTGTAATTTCCATTCTTATTTCATCTAAAGAAGCTTTTAATGTTTTCAGATCATCAAATTTTCTTTTTCTAGTAGCCTCTTGAATAAACACTTCTAAATTTTTTTCTTGTTCCAAAAATGCTTCTAACTGTTGACGAAGTTTTTTTTCTTCTTTTTCAGATTTTGTAGAAGACATTGAAAGTGATCTAGGTCTACCATTAGCAAAAGCAAGTACAACATCATCATCGTCATCAGTTAGTTGATCCTTAGTTTGTTGATTTTGGTTTTTTTTGAGAATCCTAGGTAATACTGAAAGTGGAAGCATGCTTTGTTGTAAATATTGATTAGCAGCGAGATGAATATTAGATTGCAGACGCTTTTCAGATTCAGAGTAAGTAGGTAGCGAATTAATTTTTTTGCTAATCATGTCAAATTGTGCAAAATTTTCCAATAATTCTTTTCGCGTTCGTGCCGCTACTTGATAATCCGCATGTGTTTGATTTACTATCTCCTGTCTACTACAACTACTACAAAATAAAAAAAAAAAAATAAGGTATAAATTAACGCTCATGCTCATATGGGGTGAGTGCTGGGAAAAGGGACCAAATCGACAAAAAATTTTTTTTTTGAAATAACAAATGATCTGAATCAGATGACCAAATCTACATCTATTTTACTTAGAAACTTTTTTTTAAAAAAAAAATCAATTTGGTCCATTTTCCCAGCACTTACCCCATATTATATAATATTATGTAAATGAAAATTTAAATAACAACTTTAACATATTAAGCATGTCTTGAAATTTAGGCAATGTAGAGTCAATCGTAGATCTGACTTTCGTTAATTGCTAAATAAAGTTTGATCATTTGTTAGTTAAACTCCAAAGTACATTTTTTGCAGCTATATATCGAATACATTTATTTCCTTGATTAAAAGTAAATATTATAAAGTTCCAAGGCATATTAATATTTGATGCATCCACCTGATATAACGCAATGACCTGAGGTGTCCTGGACATTTCTTCATTATAATCTTTTCGCCTGTAATATGTGAAATTTAATTAGATTTAAATACACAAACAAGATTCCCGATTTTCTCAATACTCTTTCTTCTTGTACTTTAGAATACCTAAACACGGCAATGCGACACTCTTTACAGGAGCGAATTTTGCCGACAGATTCTTGATCCGAAACTTCTAAAATACCATATATTAACACAAATTTATGGAAAGTAACTGAATTAATGATTGTAATATTGACTAGACGAACCTGAATTATATAGATTCAAAGAAATTTTCGATGAGCATTTTTCACAAACAACGCGTCCACACAAACGACAATGATGTTTACGGTTGGTTATCATGCCAAAAGACGTTCTGAACGAACAATTATTGAAACATGATTAAAATTTAACTAATCTCTGGCAAAGGGATCGAAATTATAACGTACCCACAAAGCGGGCAAGTTGTCACAGACGCATCATCCTCCCATTTAACAATTGACTGTTCGGAAGCTAATTTATTAAAAAAAAAAAAAAAGAAAAAGTGATAATGTCAATATAAACAATAAAGTAAATAAAAATATAAAATATATACATAAAAGAAATTCCACCTCTTCTTCGATGTTTTGCAGTCAAAGGAGGAGTCAGTCCTCCTTGTGTAGAATTAGCCTGCTTGGCCTGCAAGGCGTACACTTTGGCAAGCTAAGTGCGACAGACGAAGCATATGAAGATCATAAATCTAATAACATATTAAAACAAATGTATGGATATAACTTATTCAAATATTGCTAGACCTTTTCCAGACGTTTCTCAAGCCGATTCCCTTCTAAATGTGTTCTTTCAATCCCTTTCTTCCGAAATTTGGTGAATGCTGATGTATGACTTCTTATAACACCTATATCAAATAAAAACAATATAAAAAAATTAAACGTATTATGATAAGGAAAAGGTGGATTTATTTAATAATATGAATATCACGTTACCTTCAGTATCTAAATAATTCTCTCGAGAAATAAAACAATAATTGCAAACTCTGCACCAATATCCATTGACAGGATCATGCTGTGCTTGTCTGTTCAATTTAATTGATAAACGACAGTGATCATCACAAAAGAAATCGCCACATCTATATTTCGTGGAGGAGGAGGGGAAAAATAAGAATCAATTAATCTGTTATATGAAAAATATAATAGAAACTAAAAATAGATCAACGAATGAAAATACACGAGTTTTGATCATGATGACTACTTTCGACAATTGTGTTTGCCGTTTCTATTGTTCAATGACTTATCACAAGTAGAATTCGAGCATACGATATTTTCACCATCTTGTTGCCAATGAGCTTTTGTTACTAATTCTGAATGTTGATCTAATCCGTTATCAATTTCATTAAATTTATTTATGGCCAATTGCGGAAGGTTGGAGATATTGTTCAATCTTGTTTTTGAAAGTGGTTTCATAATGGTGCTTTGAGCATTTTTAAACCACTTAATTATGCCATCTTTCTGGTCGATAGAATCCGTGTGCATATCGTCCAAATGACGATTGAGTTGATCAATTGAATGCATATGTTCGTTGCATGCTGGGCAGGGACCCGAATACTCATCAAATATCAAAGATTCCCGGTGAGAATTACTTGTGGGCAAAGAATTTGACGGTGTGGAAAGATGAGAGAACGAATTGGAGTCTGACGAACTCATTTGGTTTTATGTAAATCTCAAGGAGGGAATCTTTATTGTGAGAATAAAGAAATATAATTTATAAAATACGAAAATTTTAGATTTATTTTTTTTTCAAGGTGTTACGAGTCACGAGTTTATAAAGTTTCTTTTCTAAAATAGATGTGTGTCACTATCACACATTTGAATTCAAAATTCCAAAAATTATCTTCGCCAAATAATCAAGTAGTGAAATCGTAACCAAATTTATTCGTATTGATTTCAAATTCCTATTTTCCAAAAATAATGGTTTAATAACTATAAAACAAAAAGTGCTTTAGATTCAACATCTAGTTTCAAATCGTAAATAATACATTCACGCATATTTATCGAAAAGGCAAGGTCGTTCAGGAATCGTTTGACTATTTCAAGATCATCAACACTCTAGCTTGTTTGTACAAGAATTTCAAAGAAACCTACTTTTGGGAAAAGTACATATTTGGCAATTTATTAAAATTACGATTTTGATATTCATCATATTTGAGACTTTTGCAGTAGAAAAAGCCTGTTAAATCCCTTCCCTTCTTTCTAATATGAAGTCTAAATATAAATTTGAAAAACCATCTGAAGAACGATTTTTATTATAAATTTATTTTTTCATAACCATTCATGATCATAATATAATTTACAATACTTTTTATTGAGAAAAAGAGTTGAATGATACGTACAGGATATTAAAAAACAAATAAAAGAATAAAACAATAGCTACCTACATAACAATATTTAATACTATTTTAATATTTCTATTATTAATTATTCTTTTTAAATAATAAACCTCCATCTATTCAGTTTTAATAGCAGTTCCTACATCAATAGCTTCTTTCACGATGTCCTTTGTGGCTTCACTAATTTTATTATGCAATTTACTAAGATTTTTATCCACATCATTTTGATAATTTAAGAGAACTTGTCTCAAGAATTTGGAATAAATGACTTGTGCACCCTTGAATGGTGGTAGGAAGAGCCTTTTTATTGTGAAAGAATAAAAATAGAAGAAAATTTGTTTGGATTAAGAACATTTAATATTGGATATTTCAGATAAAGGACCCAAGAGTCGTGAACTTACCAGAGGAAAAAGACGGTTTTGAATAAATAATAGAACGGCATCCAGTAAAGGATGGTGTCTGAGAAGAATTCAATTATATTTACAAATCCAAACACGGTCCTGATCCAGTTAAGTTTTCATTGATTAATATATGTTTGAAATATAAGAAATCCCCCAAAAAGAAACGAATCGATCCATTTTAAAACTAACCAGTATGTCAACCATTGAGTATCGTCAGTTTTTTCTGGACTTTCGATTGCCTTGAATGAAATGTAAGCTAAAAAAAATAAATTATTCATTAAATAAATTAAATGGTCAATTCAAACAATCCCCTGAGAAAATTGGCGAATTAATAATTCTATTGACAACACATACCAGGATAAAGCCAGCCAATGACATTAGACAATAATTGTCCCCAGAAGTTAAAAAAGATCAATAAGAACACGACGCCAACAGCACCAGCCGCCATATAGGTCTTTGGAACATTAGTATATTTTTCCAATTTGTTAACTTGTTCATATTTAGAAAGTTCTTTATCAGCTAGAGCATTATAGTACTTAAGTTTAACTTGAATAGAGTCCATTTTTATTTATCTTTAGAAAGCAAAAAAAAAAAAAAAATATGAAATCGTTAAAAAATAAAAAAGAAAAAGAAAGGACGTGGAAAAGTGAAAAAAAAAATTTGCTCAAAAAATGGGGACTATAAATATTTGATAGGTAATGATAAATTAATTTATGCAAAGTTCTGATTTAAACCGATAATGCCAATCTTTCTTGTGTCGAGTGACACATACCCACCCCTCAAAACTCACGATCCTCTTTTTCATATGTCAACTGTTGTTAAACAAAAAAAATTCTTTATTCGATAAAAAGTATTACCTGAATGTCACATGCAGAACGATGCACAAAACTTGGCAGAAAATTATTGGATGATAAAGTGATTATTTGTCAATCATATTGTTCATATTGTTCCCACTTCTCTTTACCTCCCTCCATTTCTGTCCGCGGAAATTCTAAATAATCAACTGATGTGACTGACTATAAGTAATGACGTACTTTGATTTGACATACATTTTTTTATATACAGTAAGTATTATGTGGTTTGTTAAATCTTTATGAATCCTTAATTTCTTAAAATGGTTTTTTAGGCAAGAGAAACATTTAAAATAAATATACTGAATATAGTAAGTATGCGGAAAATAATCTGATTGGCCAAATATAAAGATAATTTCTTTGAAATAATAAAATCATTATTACGTTCTTATTACAAAGATCTATTTATTTATGAAAAATTAAGGAATTTTTTCTTAAATCATTTTATTTTCTAATCTTTATTTGTTTACAAAAACTTACTTAATAATAATGTGAAGAATAAGAAATTATATTATACTTATTAAAATTGCTTATAAGCTGAATCAGACGTGATCCGTGAAATCGCATAATAAATTTGGGGATAATAATAATCAAATAAAAAGACTTTACATTCTTACCATTTAACTCTTAATCTTTATAATATGGCTAAAAAATACTCGTCAACTGTCAGTAATGCTTGTGGATAATGGTTCACTTGTACAAGAACTTCATTATGGGCCATATTCTCGTTTTAGTGGGACTTTTCAACTAAAAACAATATTGTAAACCTTCCCATTTGTCTAGGTCACAGGTCAAAAGGTTAAAATTTTTCTCAATGGAAATGACTTTTACTTGAGAGTTATAAAAGGAATTAACAATTTGCCAGAATTTTATTGCATAAGCGTTCAATTAAAACCGAAAATTCTACATGATATTCAGGTCACGCAATTATGGGCTGGAGCGGCTGGAGCGATGAAAATATTTTAGAAAGCTCAAACAATATGTTTGTTTTAAAAGTATAAAATTTTTATATGTTCTTTGTATGAAAAATGGAATCATGCGGGACCAGGTTTTAAATCCTCTATTATTCATACATTTGAAAAGCAACAAGGAATTTTTGTATCACAAATTGAAAATAAACATTGTTGTGGAAATTTATCAACTAAAAAAAGATTATTAGATAAGTCCAGATGATGTTTGGAAAAACACAGGACTAATCCAACAAGCTTTTTGATTTGGCTAGTTAAATAATTCAACAACGTATACGAAAATATCAAGTTCCTACATGTAAACTAAAATAATTAAAAACCTTTCATTAAACTTTTATTAAAATAAAAATTATTAATCTTATTTTATTATAAAAAAACTGATTTTTAATTTTATATGAAATCCATCTGAATACCCCACCTTTCTAATCTAAGAAATTATTTTTCTCCTTGTAAAATTACATATATTTTTATTGTTGTAGCTATGTATTTGTTCATACTTTTAAAAGAATCTTAAAAAACCTTAATTTTAAGACAAAAGTTCATATATATGTCGAAAAAAAATTATTAAAACATGAAAAAATTGATCAAACCTGATAATATATTTGATATTCTATTAAATTACTTAATTTAGTTAGAAATAAAAATTCTCGTTTGTGTCTATATTTATTTGTTGATTTCACATGAATCTTTTTATCAATCTTTTTTTACATTTTTTCTCATATTATGGTAAAAGAAAAGAAACAGTTTGGAAGCATTGGATAATTATTAATGAAAATAATAATGCAATACATCCTTCTGTTCAATGTAATTATTACTCTAAAATTTTTGATCGTATTTTCCTAGTAAAATGTAAACTCACTTTGATAATATCTGTTTTGATATCCCAAATAATACAAAAACAAAATCTAAACTAACTTTGGAATCTTCTAATTCTACTTAATTACCAACTACTTCTACTTTTACTCCCATTGTAAATACCTAAATTAAATGATTAAAAACTACAAAAATTGATAATTATATTGATTATATGAGTGAAGAACAATAAAATAATCTTTGAAATATTAATGTTATTCAATTTTTTCAACAACTGTGTTCTGCATTTAAATTATCTAATTGAAGAAAACTTACTGATGAATTACTTGATGAAGTTTTTGATGAAGTTAAAGCTAAATGTGATAATCAAATTTCAAAAGCTAAATCACTTATAATGATTTCAAATAGTTGGTCTAATATAAATAGAGAATCAGTTTAAATTTTATTATTTGTACTTCAAAACCATTATTTTTTGATGTAATTTATTTTAATGAAAAAAGTCATACAACTGAATGAATTGTAAATCAAATTATACAACAAATGAATATTATTGATATTAATAAATTTTCAGCAGTAATTACAGATACTACAAATGTAATAAAAGCAGCATGGAAAATTATTGAAAAAAATCATCTAAATATTATTTGTCTTAGATATAATTCTCATATAATTAATTTTTTAATTAGTAATATTTTAAAATTTAATCAAATCAAATTTGTTATTAAAAATGCAAAAAAATTAGTTAATTATTTTAAGGCACATATATAAGCAATAGCTAAATTAAAGATATTCAAAGAGAAAATTATAATAATGAAATTGCATTAGTTTTACCAGTACTTACATGATAGGAGTATACATCTTGCTTATATTCAATCACTTCAAAAATCAAAATCAATACTTAAACAAGTATTAATAGATTTAATTATTTATAAAAAAATGGATTTTACTTTAAGAAATTATATATTATTGCAGAATTATTTTAACAAGAAAATGTGGCAAAGTAAATGATTAACATGTTTCACTAAATTAATCTACTAAAGAAATTGCACAAACAATTATAAGAATTGATCTACTAGATAATCTACAAATTAATTTACATGTATTATGTGATATTCTTGACATTGTTGATATAGTTAACATTAATGACATTATTAACATTAATGACATTATTAACATTATTGACATTATTAACATTAATAACATTATCAACATTGTTAACATAGTTAATATAATAGATATAACTTATTTATTTAATATATTTTATTTATTGTTATATGTAATTGAAAAAATATAAATACAGTAGATTTTAAAACTTGTAAAAAGGAAAGAGTTAGATTTTCTCTAGCCTGATACCAACATTCTTCTTATATTTTATTCTTTTCTTTTATTTCTTAAGAATTCAACTTGGCTGTGTGCAATAATTCTCTAATCTTTATTTATTTTTTTTTATCAATAAACTGTTTTATCATTTACATCTATGTAATCTATAAATGATAACATAATATTTAACATCTGTGTGATCTATAAATGATAGTGTGATATTTAACATCTGTGTAATACATAAGTCTTAGCAATAAGTTGCAATCTGAATGAAATCTACAAGTCTATGTGATGCATAAATCTTAGCAATAAGCTGCAATTTGAGTAATATTATAAACCTTGTGAATTTAAATGATATTTTAAGCCTTCGTGACAACCACAGCTGTTGTAAATCTTTGTAAATATACAAGTCTTAGTGAATTACAGTTTAAATACATTCAAGTGATACTAGTTATAAGTTCAGGACTTCAGAAAAGATCAGTAATTACTACATTATTACTAGCTAAAAATTTACTATTGAAAAGATGATCTATAAAGAATTATTAAATGATCTACAGAAGTTACTGGAATTAATTTTATGTCAATCACAAAT